CGGGGTTTTTGGTCATGGACCATGTGTTCTTATGGAATGGATGACATCACATCTGACACGTGTGGATGTATCAATGCCATTCCTCCAGATGGACAGTACTGCCAGTCGGTTCACAACCAAAGTAAGAACCAACATCCTCACAGATTTGACTTTTGTTAACATTTTCTGATATATGTAACTAACCAATATCCTCTTTTCTTCACCTCAAAGACTTTTCCGCATGTCCAACAACAACAGCCTCTCCTACAACAGGTAATGTAAGACCAAATATATCTGATGAATTGCATTAAAAACAATACCATTACTATTGTCTTGTCATCTTGATAGATCTAAATATATTTAATCATTGCAAATGAATGACTGACATTGTTCATTTTCAGTTTCAACAGTACCACCAACTCTCTACGAATACATGATTGAAATTGAGCTGAACACCACAGACGTTACAGTGATAGATCAACTGAGAGCCATACTGAGAAATGCTAGTTACCCTGTCAGAATCAATAATCTGATACAAATCACTGGTATCAACATCTCTACAGGTAAGACTTCAATGTACAAATTATTATTTTTAAATGCTTACAGACCGATTAAGTGTAATTTTGATTGAGATTTCTAAATCTACTCGAATGTCCTCAGTTTGCTACCCAAATGGTACTGGATTCCAGTGCAGATGTGAGGACCAATATCGTTGGTCATGTGACCAGTGTGTCTCTTATGGGAAATGTGATGACATCACATCTGACACGTGTGGATGTATCAATGCCATTCCTCCAGATGGACAGTACTGCCAGTCGGTTCACAACCAAAGTAAGAACCAACATCCTCACAGATTCGACTTTTGTTAACATTTTCTAATATGTGTAACTAACCAATATCCTCTTTTCTTCACCTCAAAGACTTTACCGCATGTCCAACAACAACAGCCTCTCCTACAACAGGTAATGTAATACCAAATATATCTGATGAATTGCATTAAAAACAATACCATTACTATTGTCTTGTCATCTTGATAGATCTAAATATATTTAATTTATTGCAAATGAATGACTGACATTGTTCATTTACAGTTTCAACAGTACCACCAACTCTCTACGAATACATGATTGAAATTGAGCTGAGCACCACAGACGTTACAGTGATAGATCAACTGAGAGCCATTCTGAGAAATGCTAGTTACCCTGTCAGAATCAATAATCTGATACAAATCACTGGTATCAACATCTCTACAGGTAAGACTTCAATGTGCAAATTATTATTTTTAAATGCTTACAGACCGATTAAGTGTAATTTTGATTGAGATTTCTAAATCTACTCGAATGTCCTCAGTTTGCTACCCAAATGGTACTGGATTCCAGTGCAGATGTGAGGACCAATATCGTTGGTCATGTGACCAGTGTGTCTCTTATGGGAAATGTGATGACATCACATCTGACACGTGTGGATGTATCAATGCCATTCCTCCAGATGGACAGTACTGCCAGTCGGTTCACAACCAAAGTAAGAACCAACATCCTCACAGATTCGACTTTTGTTAACATTTTCTGATATATGTAACTAACCAATATCCTCTTTTCTTCACCTCAAAGACTTTACCGCATGTCCAACAACAACAGCCTCTCCTACAACAGGTAATGTAATACCAAATATATCTGATGAATTGCATTAAAAACAATAGCATTACTATTGTCTTGTCATCTTGATAGATCTAAATATATTTAATCATTGCAAATGAATAACTGACATTGTTCATTTTCAGTTTCAACAGTACCACCAACTCTCTACGAATACATGATTGAAATTGAGCTGAACACCACAGACGTTACAGTGATAGATCAACTGAGAGCCATACTGAGAAATGCTAGTTACCCTGTCAGAATCAATAATCTGATACAAATCACTGGTATCAACATCTCTACAGGTAAGACTTCAATGTACAAATTATTATTTTTAAATGCTTACAGACCGATGAAGTGTAATTTTGATTGAGATTTCTAAATCTACTCGTATATCCTCAGTTTGCTACCCAAATGGTACTGGATTCCAGTGCAGATGTGAGGACCAATATCGTTGGTCATGTGACCAGTGTGTCTCTTATGGGAAATGTGATGACATCACATCTGACACGTGTGGATGTATCAATGCCATTCCTCCAGATGGACAGTACTGCCAGTCGGTTCACAACCAAAGTAAGAACCAACATCCTCACAGATTCGACTTTTGTTAACATTTTCTAATATGTGTAACTAACCAATATCCTCTTTTCTTCACCTCAAAGACTTTACCGCATGTCCAACAACAACAGCCTCTCCTACAACAGGTAATGTAATACCAAATATATCTGATGAATTGCATTAAAAACAATACCATTACTATTGTCTTGTCATCTTGATAGATCTAAATATATTTAATTTATTGCAAATGAATGACTGACATTGTTCATTTTCAGTTTCAACAGTACCACCAACTCTCTACGAATACATGATTGAAATTGAGCTGAGCACCACAGACGTTACAGTGATAGATCAACTGAGAGCCATTCTGAGAAATGCTAGTTACCCTGTCAGAATCAATAATCTGATACAAATCACTGGTATCAACATCTCTACAGGTAAGACTTCAATGTGCAAATTATTATTTTTAAATGCTTACAGACCGATTAAGTGTAATTTTGATTGAGATTTCTAAATCTACTCGAATGTCCTCAGTTTGCTACCCAAATGGTACTGGATTCCAGTGCAGATGTGAGGACCAATATCGTTGGTCATGTGACCAGTGTGTCTCTTATGGGAAATGTGATGACATCACATCTGACACGTGTGGATGTATCAATGCCATTCCTCCAGATGGACAGTACTGCCAGTCGGTTCACAACCAAAGTAAGAACCAACATCCTCACAGATTTGACTTTTGTTAACATTTTCTGATATATGTAACTAACCAATATCCTCTTTTCTTCACCTCAAAGACTTTTCCGCATGTCCAACAACAACAGCCTCTCCTACAACAGGTAATGTAAGACCAAATATATCTGATGAATTGCATTAAAAACAATACCATTACTATTGTCTTGTCATCTTGATAGATCTAAATATATTTAATCATTGCAAATGAATAACTGACATTGTTCATTTTCAGTTTCAACAGTACCACCAACTCTCTACGAATACATGATTGAAATTGAGCTGAACACCACAGACGTTACAGTGATAGATCAACTGAGAGCCATTCTGAGAAATACTAGTTACCCTGTCAGAATCAATAATCTGATACAAATCACTGGTATCAACATCTCTACAGGTAAGACTTCAATGTGCAAATTATTATTTTTAAATGCTTACAGATCGATTAAGTGTAATTTTGATTGAGATTTCTAAATCTACTCGAATATCCTCAGTTTGCTACCCAAATGGTACTGGATTCCAGTGCAGATGTGAGGACCAATATCGTTGGTCATGTGACCAGTGTGTCTCTTATGGGAAATGTGATGACATCACATCTGACACGTGTGGATGTATCAATGCCATTCCTCCAGATGGACAGTACTGCCAGTCGGTTCACAACCAAAGTAAGAACCAACATCCTCACAGATTCGACTTTTGTTAACATTTTCTAATATGTGTAACTAACCAATATCCTCTTTTCTTCACCTCAAAGACTTTACCGCATGTCCAACAACAACAGCCTCTCCTACAACAGGTAATGTAATACCAAATATATCTGATGAATTGCATTAAAAACAATACCATTACTATTGTCTTGTCATCTTGATAGATCTAAATATATTTAATTTATTGCAAATGAATGACTGACATTGTTCATTTTCAGTTTCAACAGTACCACCAACTCTCTACGAATACATGATTGAAATTGAGCTGAGCACCACAGACGTTACAGTGATAGATCAACTGAGAGCCATTCTGAGAAATGCTAGTTACCCTGTCAGAATCAATAATCTGATACAAATCACTGGTATCAACATCTCTACAGGTAAGACTTCAATGTGCAAATTATTATTTTTAAATGCTTACAGACCGATTAAGTGTAATTTTGATTGAGATTTCTAAATCTACTCGAATGTCCTCAGTTTGCTACCCAAATGGTACTGGATTCCAGTGCAGATGTGAGGACCAATATCGTTGGTCATGTGACCAGTGTGTCTCTTATGGGAAATGTGATGACATCACATCTGACACGTGTGGATGTATCAATGCCATTCCTCCAGATGGACAGTACTGCCAGTCGGTTCACAACCAAAGTAAGAACCAACATCCTCACAGATTCGACTTTTGTTAACATTTTCTAATATGTGTAACTAACCAATATCCTCTTTTCTTCACCTCAAAGACTTTACCGCATGTCCAACAACAACAGCCTCTCCTACAACAGGTAATGTAATACCAAATATATCTGATGAATTGCATTAAAAACAATACCATTACTATTGTCTTGTCATCTTGATAGATCTAAATATATTTAATCATTGCAAATGAATGACTGACATTGTTCATTTTCAGTTTCAACAGTACCACCAACTCTCTACGAATACATGATTGAAATTGAGCTGAGCACCACAGACGTTACAGTGATAGATCAACTGAGAGCCATTCTGAGAAATGCTAGTTACCCTGTCAGAATCAATAATCTGATACAAATCACTGGTATCAACATCTCTACAGGTAAGACTTCAATGTGCAAATTATTATTTTTAAATGCTTACAGACCGATTAAGTGTAATTTTGATTGAGATTTCTAAATCTACTCGAATGTCCTCAGTTTGCTACCCAAATGGTACTGGATTCCAGTGCAGATGTGAGGACCAATATCGTTGGTCATGTGACCAGTGTGTCTCTTATGGGAAATGTGATGACATCACATCTGACACGTGTGGATGTATCAATGCCATTCCTCCAGATGGACAGTACTGCCAGTCGGTTCACAACCAAAGTAAGAACCAACATCCTCACAGATTCGACTTTTGTTAACATTTTCTAATATGTGTAACTAACCAATATCCTCTTTTCTTCACCTCAAAGACTTTACCGCATGTCCAACAACAACAGCCTCTCCTACAACAGGTAATGTAATACCAAATATATCTGATGAATTGCATTAAAAACAATACCATTACTATTGTCTTGTCATCTTGATAGATCTAAATATATTTAATCATTGCAAATGAATGACTGACATTGTTCATTTTCAGTTTCAACAGTACCACCAACTCTCTACGAATACATGATTGAAATTGAGCTGAACACCACAGACGTTACAGTGATAGATCAACTGAGAGCCATTCTGAGAAATGCTAGTTACCCTGTCAGAATCAATAATCTGATACAAATCACTGGTATCAACATCTCTACAGGTAAGACTTCAATGTGCAAATTATTATTTTTAAATGCTTACAGACCGATTAAGTGTAATTTTGATTGAGATTTCTAAATCTACTCGAATGTCCTCAGTTTGCTACCCAAATGGTACTGGATTCCAGTGCAGATGTGAGGACCAATATCGTTGGTCATGTGACCAGTGTGTCTCTTATGGGAAATGTGATGACATCACATCTGACACGTGTGGATGTATCAATGCCATTCCTCCAGATGGACAGTACTGCCAGTCGGTTCACAACCAAAGTAAGAACCAACATCCTCACAGATTCGACTTTTGTTAACATTTTCTAATATGTGTAACTAACCAATATCCTCTTTTCTTCACCTCAAAGACTTTACCGCATGTCCAACAACAACAGCCTCTCCTACAACAGGTAATGTAATACCAAATATATCTGATGAATTGCATTAAAAACAATACCATTACTATTGTCTTGTCATCTTGATAGATCTAAATATATTTAATCATTGCAAATGAATGACTGACATTGTTCATTTTCAGTTTCAACAGTACCACCAACTCTCTACGAATACATGATTGAAATTGAGCTGAGCACCACAGACGTTACAGTGATAGATCAACTGAGAGCCATTCTGAGAAATGCTAGTTACCCTGTCAGAATCAATAATCTGATACAAATCACTGGTATCAACATCTCTACAGGTAAGACTTCAATGTGCAAATTATTATTTTTAAATGCTTACAGACCGATTAAGTGTAATTTTGATTGAGATTTCTAAATCTACTCGAATGTCCTCAGTTTGCTACCCAAATGGTACTGGATTCCAGTGCAGATGTGAGGACCAATATCGTTGGTCATGTGACCAGTGTGTCTCTTATGGGAAATGTGATGACATCACATCTGACACGTGTGGATGTATCAATGCCATTCCTCCAGATGGACAGTACTGCCAGTCGGTTCACAACCAAAGTAAGAACCAACATCCTCACAGATTCGACTTTTGTTAACATTTTCTAATATGTGTAACTAACCAATATCCTCTTTTCTTCACCTCAAAGACTTTACCGCATGTCCAACAACAACAGCCTCTCCTACAACAGGTAATGTAATACCAAATATATCTGATGAATTGCATTAAAAACAATACCATTACTATTGTCTTGTCATCTTGATAGATCTAAATATATTTAATCATTGCAAATGAATGACTGACATTGTTCATTTTCAGTTTCAACAGTACCACCAACTCTCTACGAATACATGATTGAAATTGAGCTGAGCACCACAGACGTTACAGTGATAGATCAACTGAGAGCCATTCTGAGAAATGCTAGTTACCCTGTCAGAATCAATAATCTGATACAAATCACTGGTATCAACATCTCTACAGGTAAGACTTCAATGTGCAAATTATTATTTTTAAATGCTTACAGACCGATTAAGTGTAATTTTGATTGAGATTTCTAAATCTTCTCGAATGTCCTCAGTTTGCTACCCAAATGGTACTGGATTCCAGTGCAGATGTGAGGACCAATATCGTTGGTCATGTGACCAGTGTGTCTCTTATGGGAAATGTGATGACATCACATCTGACACGTGTGGATGTATCAATGCCATTCCTCCAGATGGACAGTACTGCCAGTCGGTTCACAACCAAAGTAAGAACCAACATCCTCACAGATTTGACTTTTGTTAACATTTTCTGATATGTGTAACTAACCAATATCCTATTTTCTTCACCTCAAAGACTTTACCGCATGTCCAATAACAACAGCCTCTCCTACAACAGGTAATGTAAACATTTACATAAATATTCAGACCCTTTACTCAATACTTTATTGAAGCACCTTTGTCATTGATTGCAGCCTCGAGTCTTCTTGGGTATGACGCTACAACCTTGGCACACCTGTGTTTGGGTAGTTTCTCCCATTCTTCTCTGCAGATCCTCTCAAGCTCTGTCAGGTTGGATGGGGAGCGTCGCTGCACAGCTATTTTCAGGTCTCTCCAGAGATGTTCGATCGGGTTCAAGTCCAGGCTCTTGCTGGGCCACTTAAGGACATTCAGAGACTTGTCCCGAAGACACTCCTGCGTTGTCTTGGCTGTGTGCTTAGGGTCATTGTCCTGTTGGAAGGTGAACCTTCGCCCCAGCCTGACGTCCTGAGCGCTCTGGAGCAGGTTTTCATCAAGGATCTCTCTGTACTTTGCTCCGTTCATCTTTCCCTCCATCCTGACTAGTCTCCCAGTCCCTACCTCTGAAAAACATGCCACCACCATGCTTCACTGTAGGGATGGTGCCAGGTTCCTCCAGACGTGACACTTCGCATTCAGGCCAAAGAGTTCAATCTTTGTTTCATCAGACCAGATCATCTTGTTTCTAATGATCTGAGAGTCCTTTAGGTGGCTTTCGGCAAACTCCAAGCAGCCTGTCATGTGCCTTTTACTGCGGAGTGAATTCTGTCTGGCAACTCTACCATAAAGGCCTGATTGGTGGAGTGCTGCAGAGATGGTTGTCCTTCTGGAAGGTTCTCCCATCTCCACAGAGGAACTCTGGAGCTCTATCAGAATGACCATCAGGTTCTTGGCCACCTCCCTGACCAAGGCCCTTAGCCCCCGATTGCTCAGTTTGGCCGGGCCGCCAGCTCTAGGAAGAGTCTTGGTGGTTTCAAACTTGATGATGGAGGCCACTGCGTTCTTGGGGACCTTCAATGCTGCAGACATGTTTTGGTACCCTTCCCCAGATCTGTGGCTCAACACAATCCTGTCTCTACGGACAATTCCTTCGACCTCATGGCTTGATTTTTTCTCTGAGAGCCACTGTCAACTGTAGGACCTTATGTAGACAGGTGTGTGCCTTTCCAAATCATGTCCAATCAATTGAATTTACCACAGGTGGACTCCAATCAAGTTGTAGAAACATCTCAAGGATTATCAATGGAAACAGGATTCACCTGAGCTCAATTTCGAGTCTCATAGCAAATGGTCTGAATACTTATGTAAATAAGGTATTTCTGTTTTTTAGAATAAGGTTGTAACATAACAAAATGTGGAAAAACTCAAGGTGTCTGAATACTGTTCAGTAGCCTTTTGGTCTCACACATGGTGCTCATGTACCTCTTGCCATGTGGTAGCGGAGAGAACTGTCTATTACTTGGGTGGCTGGAGTCTTTGAAAACATTTTGGGTCTTCCCCTGACACCGCCTGGTATAGAGGTCCTGGATGGCAGGGAGTTCGGCCCCAGTGATGTAATGGGCCATTCGCACCACCCTCTGTAGCACCTTGTGGTTGGATGCCGAGGAGTTGCAATACCAAGCGGTGATCCAGCCAGTCAAGATGCTCTCAATGGTGCAGCTGTAGAACTTTGAGAATTTTGAGGATCTGAGGGCCCATGCCAAATATTTTCAGCCTTCTGAGGGGGAGGCGTTGTCGTGCCCACTTCATGACTTGGTGTGTTTGGACCATGATAGGTCCTTAGTGATGTGGACACCGAGGAACTTGAAGCTCTCGACCCGCTCCACAACAGCCTAGTCGATGTGAATGGGGGCGTGTTCGGCCCTCTGTTCCCTATAGTCCACAATAAGGTAATTTGTCTTGCCCACGTTGAGGGAGAGGTTGTTGTCCTGGCACCACACTGCCAGGTCTCTGACCTCCTCCCTATAGGCTGTCTCATTGTCGTCGGTGATCAGGCCTACCATCGTGTCATCTGCAAACTTAACGATGGAGTTGGAGTCGTATGTGGCCAGGCAGTCAAGGGGTAAACAGGGAGTACAGGAAGGGACTAAGCACCAACCCCTGAGGGGCCCCAGTGTTGAGGGTCAGCGTTGCGATGTTTTGGTGCCTACCCTCACCACCTGGGAACGGCCATTCAGGAAGTCCAGGATCCAGTTGCAGAGGGAGGTGTTCAGTCCCAGGGTCCTTAGCTTAGTGATGAGCTTGGAGGGTGCTATGGTGTTGAACGCTGGGCTGTAGTCAATGAACAGCATTCTCAAGTAGCTGTTCCTTTTGTCCAGGTGGGAAAGGGCAGTGTGGAGTGCAATAGAGATTGTGTCATCTGTGGATCTGTTGGGGCACAATGCGAATTGTAGTGGGTCCAGGGTTTCTGGGATGATGTTGATGTGAGCCATGACCAGCCTTTCAAAGCATTTCATGGTATACAGTTGAAGTCAGAAGTTTCAATTGGAGGTGTACCTGTGGATGTATTTCAAGGCCTACCTTCAAACTCAGTGCCTCTTTGCTTGACATCATGGGAAAATCAAAAGAAATCAGCCAAGGCCTCAGAAAAGAAATTGTAGACCTCCACAAGTCTGGTTCATCCTTGGGAGCAATTTCCAAATGCCTGAAGGTACCACTTTCATCTGTACAAATAATAGTACGCAAGTATAAACACCAACGGTTCGGCCATAATGACCATTGTTATGTTTGGAAAAAAAAGGGGGGTAGTTTGCAAGCCGAAGAACACCATCCCAATCATTAAGCACGGGGGTGGCAGCATCATGCTGTGGGGGTGCTTTGCTGCAGAAGGGACTGGTGCACTTCACAAAATAGATGGCATCATGAGGAAGGAAATTTATGTGGATATATTGAAGCAACATCTCAAGACATCAGTCAGGAAGTTAAAGCTTGGTCGCAAATGGCTCTTCCAAATGGACAATGACCCCAAGCATACTTCCAAAGTTGTGGCAAAATGGCTTAAGGATAACAAAGTCAAGGTATTGGAGTGGCCATCACAAAGCCCTGACCTCAATCCTATAGAACATTTGTGGGCAGAACTGAAAAAGTGTGTGCGAGCAAGGAGGCCTACAAACCTGACTCAGTTACACCAGCTTTGTCAGTAGGAATGGGCCAAAATTCACCCAACTTATTGTGGGAAGCTTGTGGAAGCCTAGCTGAAACATTTGACCGAAGTTAAACAATTTAAAGGCAATGCTACCAAATACTAATTGAGTGTATATAAACTTCTGACCCACTGGGAATGTGATGAAAGAAATAAAAGCAGAAAATAAATCATTCTCTCTACTATTATTCTGACATTTCACATTCTTAAAATAAAGTGGTGATCCTAACTGACCTAAGACAGGGATTTTCTACTAGGATTAAATGTCAGGAATTGTGAAAAACTGAGTTTAAATGTATTTGGCTAAGGTGTATGTAAACTTCCGACTTCAACATTATATGTGAGTGCTACGGGACAGTAGGCATTTTAGGCAGATTACCCTGGCGTTTTTGAACACTGGGACTATGGTGGTCTGCTTGAATCATGTACATTTTACAGACTGGGTCAGGGAGAGGTTGAAAATGTCAGTGAAGACACTTGCCAGCTGGTCAGCGCATGCTCTGAGTACGCATCCTGGTAATCCGTTTGGCCCTGCAGCCTTGTGAATGGTAACCTGTTTAAAGGTCTTACTCACTTCGGCTACAGAGAGCATGATCATACAGTCGTCTGGAACAGCTGGTGCTCTCACACATGGTTCAGTGTTGCTTGCCTCGAAGTGAGCATAGAAGGCATTTAGCTCGTCTGGTAGGCTCATGTCACTGGGCAGCTCTCGGCCCGGGTTTCCCTTTCTAATTTGTGATAGTTTGCAATCCCTGACACATTCGACAAGGATCAGAGCCGGTGTAGTAGGATTCGGTCTTAGTCCTGTATTAACACATTGCCTGTTTGATGGTTCATCAGAGAGTGTATTAGGATTTCTGATAAGCGTCCGGATTAGTGTCCCACTCTTTGAAAGCAGCAGTTCTAGCCTTTAGCTCACAGGGGAAGGAGTGCATTTAAAGTTTGATTTGATTTAGTCCTTTTCTTTAACTTAGATTTTTGGTTGAGATGGAGACACGAATCTAACATATCAATTATTCATTTGTAGACAAACTGGAATTCAAGCCAGACTAAGTCAGTGGCACAGATAGAACTATCAAAGCAGAAGACAAATGTCCTTCAAATGTTGATATTTGGTGGTCGACAAGTTAACAAATGATATGTTGGATTAACGTCTCCAACTCAACCAAAATAAGAGTTAAAGAATTGGAATAAGCAAGTGGCTCAGAAGCAGTACATACAGTGTACATCACCTTTAAATGTTGATATTTTGTTGCGATGTCAACCAAACACAATTCAATATTACTTTTCTAATACAGTATAGTTTAAAGTTAAGACAATCTTACAAACTAATGTAAAATCAAACCTTAAAATGACTAACACATCCATGGCCACATTTTGAGATTACTCTAACTATACATTTCTTCTCATGTAATCATATAAAGCATGCATGTTCAAGATAGCAGGCATAAGTAGCCACATGTCTGTGTTGCATTAACATGTCACTATCTATCTGTCACAACAGAACTGACACCAGTGACCAGTAGGCTAAGTGCTTTTAAAGGCTAGCAAAAAATACTTTCTGAACTTACTATTAGTTGATATTTATCTGTTTCTACTACAAACTATCACTATGATGCTTCTCTCTTGGTAGACTCTACTACATTTACATTTACGTCATTTAGCAGACGCTCTTAACCAGAGCGACTTACAAATTGGTGCATTCACCCTATAGCCAGTGGGATAACCACTTTATAATTTTTTAAAAAAAAATTTGGGAGGGGGGGTAGAAGGATTACTTTATCCTATCCCAGGTATTCCTTAAAGAGGTGGGGTTTCAAATGTCTCCGGAAGGTGGTGAGTGACTCCGCTGTCCTGGCGTTGTGAGGGAGCTTGTTCCACCATTGGGGTGCCAGAGCAGCGAACAGTTTTGACTGGGCTGAGCGGGAACTATACTTGCGCAGAGGAAGGGCAGCCAGCAGGCCAGAGGTGGATGAACGCAATGCCCTCGTTTGGGTGTAGGGACTGATCAGAGCCTGAAGGTACGGAGGTGCCGTTCCCCTCACTGCTCCATAGGCAAGCACCATGGTCTTGTAACGGATGCGAGCTTCAACTGGAAGCCAGTGGAGTGTGCGGAGGAGGGGGGTGACGTGAGAGAACTTGGGAAGGTTGAACACCAGACGGGCTGCGGCATTCTGGATGAGTTGTAGGGGTTTAATGGCACAGGCAGGGAGCCCAGCCAACAGCGAGTTGCAGTAATCCAGACGGGAGATGACAAGTGCCTGGATTAGGACCTGTGCCGCTTCCTGTGTAAGGCAGGGTCGTACTCTCCGAATGTTGTAGAGCATGAACCTGCAGGATCGGGTCACCGCCTTGATGTTAGCGGAGAACGACAGGGTGTTGTCCAGGGTCACACCAAGGCTCTTCTCACTCTGGGAGGAGGACACAACAGAGTTGTCAACCGTGATGGCGAGATCATGGAACGGGCAGTCCTTCCCCGGGAGGAAGAGCAGCTCCGTCTTGCCAGGGTTCAGCTTGAGGTGGTGATCCGTCATCCATACTGATATGTCTGCCAGACATGCAGAGATGCGATTCGCCACCTGGTTATCAGAAGGGGGAAAGGAGAAGATTAGTTGTGTATCGTCAGCGTAGCAATGATAGGAGAGGCCATGTGAGGATATGACAGAGCCAAGTGACTTGGTGTATAGGGAGAAAAGGAGAGGGCCTAGAACTGAGCCCTGGGGGACACCAGTGGTGAGAGCACGTGGTGCGGAGACAGTACACATGCAGCCACAACAAAACAGATCACTACAGCTGACCCCACAACACAACTTACCACAGTTACCAGTAAATACAATCAAGTACTGCTTAATTTTTATTTATTCTGAATTTCAGTTCTTTATAAATTTGTCACAATGTCTCTCTCTCGCTCTCTCGCTCTCTCTCTCTCTTTCTCTCACTCTCTGCTTCAGACTATACAACACCTGAGGCCAGCACTACAGAACAGAGTACTACAGCTGACCCCACAACACAACTGACCACAGTTACCAGTAAATAGTCATTTACAGCTGAAAATGTTTTGTTCTGATCTTCAGTTCATCACACATTTGTCACAATCTCTCTCTCTTTGTCTTGCTCTCTCTCTCACTCTGCTTAAGACTCTACAACACCTGAGGCCAGCACTACAGAACAAATAATTACAGCTGATCCCACAACACAATTGACCACAGTTACAAGTAAAAACAATCAAATACTAGTGAAAATAATTTGTTCTGAACTTCAGTTCTTCACACATTTGTCACAATCTCTCTCTATCTCTCTCTCTCCCTCGCTCTCTCACTGTCTGTCTGTCTGTCTGTCTGTCTGTCTGTCTGTCTGTCTGTCTGTCTGTCTGTCTGTCTGTCTGTCTGTCTGTCTGTCTGTCTGTCTGTCTGTATGTATGTCTGTCTGTATGTCTGTCTGTCTGTCTCTGTCTGTCGCTCTCTGCTTTAGATTCTACAACACCTGAGGCCAGCACTACAGAACAAATAACTACAGTTGATCCCACAACACAACTGACCGCAGTTACCAGTAAGTATCATCAGGTTTTGGAGAATAAAACTTGTTTGAAGCAGAGTTCACCACCAAAAGATCTGACACTCAATCATTATGTTTCGTCCCTGCTGTAGACTCTACAACAACTGCACCCACAACAGGACAAAGTCCTACAGCTGACCCCACAAGACAACTGATCACAGTTACCAGTAAATAAAATCAAGTACTGCTGAAAATAATTTGTTCTGAATTTAAGTTCTTCATAAATTTGTCACAAATTCTCTCTCGCTATCTTTCTCTCTCTTTCTGCTTCAGACTCTACAACACCTGAGGCCAGCACTACAGAACAGAGTACTACAGCTGACCCCACAACACAACTGACCACAGTTACCAGTGAGTGTACGCTAATATATTTTAGTTCAGAACAAAGTTGCATTAAAGTGTCTCTATCTGTCACAACAGAACTGACACCAGTGACCATTAAGCTAAGTGCTTTTAAAGGCTAACAAAAAATACTTTCTGACCTTAGTATGAGTTTATATTAATCTGTTACTTCTTCAATCTATCACTCTGATGCTTCTCTCTTGGTAGACTCTACTACACATGCAGCCACAACAAAACAGATCACTACAGCTGACCCCACAACACAACTAACCACAGTTCTCAGTAAATACAATCAAGTACTGCTGAAAATAATTTGTTCTGAACTTCAGTTCATCACACCTTTTTCACAATTTCTGTCTCTCTCTCCTTTAGACTCTACAACACCTGAGGCCAGCACTACAGCACAAAGTACTACAGTTGATCCCACAACACAACTGACCACAGTTACCAGTAAATACAATCAAGTACTGCTGAAAATAATTTATTCTGAATTTAAGTTCTTCATAAATTTGTCACAAATTCTCTCTCGCTCTCTCTCGCTATCTTTCTCTCTCTTTCTGCTTCAGACTCTACAACACCTGAGGCCAGCACTACAGAACAGAGTACTACAGCTGACCCCACAACACAACTGACCACAGTTACCAGTGAGTGTACGCTAATATATTTTAGTTCAGAACAAAGTTGCATTAAAGTGTCTCTATCTGTCACAACAGAACTGACACCAGTGACCATTAAGCTAAGTGCTTTTAAAGGCTAACACAAAATACTTTCTGAACTTAGTATGAGTTTATATTAATCTGTTACTTCTTCAATCTATCACTCTGATGCTTCTCTCTTGGTAGACTATACTACACATGCAGCCACAACAAAACAGATCACTACAGCTGACCCCACAACACAACTAACCACAGTTCTCAGTAAATACAATCAAGTACTGCTAAAAATTATTTGTTCTGAACTTACATTTACATTTTAGTCATTTAGCAGACGCTCTTATCCAGAGCGACTTACAGGAGCAATTAGGGTTAAGTGCCTTGCTCAAGGGCACATTTACGTCATTTAGCAGACGCTCTAATCCAGAGCGACTCACAAATTGGTGCATTCACCCTATATCCAGTGGGAAAACCACTTTGCAATTTTTTTGGGGGGGGTGGGGGGGGGGGGGGGGGGGTAGAAGGATTACTTTATCCTGTCCCAGGTAATCCTTAAAGAGGTGGGGTTTCAAATGTCTCCGGAAGGTGGTGAGTGACTCCGCTGTCCTGGCGTCGTGAGGGAGCTTGTTCCACCATTGGGGTGCCAGAGCAGCGAACAGTTTTGACTGGGCTGAGCGGGTACTATGCTTCCGCAGAGGAAGGGGAGCCAGCAGGCCAGAGGTGGATGAACGCAATGCCCTCGCTTGGGTGTAGGGACTGATCAGAGCCCGAAGGTACAGAGGTGCCGTTCCCCTCACTGCTCCATAGGCAAGCACCATGGTCTTGTAACGGATGCGAGCTTCAACTGGAAGCCAGTGGAGTGTGCGGAGGAGGGGGGTGACGTGAGAGAACTTGGGAAGGTTGAACACCAGACGGGCTGCGGCATTCTGGATGAGTTGTAGGGGTTTAATGGCACAGGCAGGGAGGCCAGCCAACAGCGAGTTGCAGTAGTCCAGACGGGAGATGACAAGTGCCTGGATTAGGACCTGTGCCGCTTCCTGTGTAAGGCAGGGTCGTACTCTCCGAATGTTGTAGAGCATGAACCTGCAGGAGCGGGTCACCGCCTTGATGTTAGCGGAGAACGACAGGGTGTTGTCCAGGGTCACGCCAGTTCATCACACCTTTTTCACAATTTCTGTCTCTCTCTCCTTTAGACTCTACAACACCTGAGGCCAGCACTACAGCACAAAGTCCTACAGCTGACACCACAACACAACTGACCACAGTTACCAGTACATACAATCAAGTACTCCTGAAAATAATTTATTCTGAATTTAAGTTCTTCATAAATTTGTCACAAATTCTCTCTCGCTCTCTCTCGCTATCTTTCTCTCTCTTTCTGCTTCAGACTCTACAACACCTGAGGCCAGCACTACAGAACAGAGTACTACAGCTGACCCCACAACACAACTGACCACAGTTACCAGTGAGTGTACGCTAATATATTTTATTTCAGAACAAAGTTGCATTAAAGTGTCTCTATCTGTCACAACAGAACTGACACCAGTGACCATTAAGCTAAGTGCTTTTAAAGGCTAACAAAAAATACTTTCTGAACTTAGTATGAGTTTATATTAATCTGTTACTTCTTCAATCTATCACTCTGATGCTTCTCTCTTGGTAGACTCTACTACACATGCAGCCACAACAAAACAGATCACTACAGCTGACCCCACAACACAACTAACCACAGTTCTCAGTAAATACAATCAAGTACTGCTGAAAATAATTTGTTCTGAACTTCAGTTCATCACACCTTTTTCACAATTTCTGTCTCTCTCTCCTTTAGACTCTACAACACCTAAGGCCAGCACTACAGCACAAAGTACTACAGTTGATCCCACAACACAACTGACCACAGTTACCAGTAAATACAATCAAGTACTGCTGAAAATTATTTGTTCTGAACTTCAGTTCATCACACCTTTTTCACAATTTCTGTCTCTCTCTCTGCTTTAGACTCTACAACACCTGAGACCAGCACTACAGAAAAGATAACTACAGTTGATCCCACAACAAAACTGACCGCAGTTACCAGTAAATACAATCAAGTACTGCTGAAAATTATTTGTTCTGAACTTCAGTTCATCCCACCTTTTTCACAATTTCTGTCTCTCTCTCTGCTTTAGACTCTACAACACCTGAGGCCAGCACTACAGCACAAAGTACTACAGTTGATCCCACAACACAACTGACCGCAGTTACCAGTAAGTATCATCAAGTTCTGGAGAACAGAACTTGTCTGAAGCAGAGTTCACCACCAAAAGATCTGACACTCAATCATTATGTTTCTTCCCTTATGTAGACTCTACAACAACTGCACCCAAAACAGGACAAAGTCCTACAGCTGACACCACAACACAACTGACCACAGTTACCAGTAAATACAATCAAGTACTGCTGAAAATAATTTATTCTGAATTTCAGTTCTTCATAAATTTGTCACAATCTCTCTCTTGCTCTCTCTCGCTATCTTTCTTTCTCTTTCTGCTTCAGACTCTACAATACCTGAGGCCAGCACTACAGAACAGAGTACTACAGCTGACCCCACACCACAACTGACCACAGTTACCAGTAAGTGTACGCTAATATATTTTAGTTCAGAACAAAGTTGCATTAAAGTGTCTCTATCTGTCACAACAGAACTGACACCAGTGACCATTAAGCTAAGTGCTTTTAAAGGCTAGCAAAAAATACTTTCTGAACTTAGTATGAGTTTATATTAATCTGTTACTTCTTCAATCTATCACTCTGATGCTTCTCTCTTGGTAGACTCTACTACACATGCAGCCACAACAAAACAGATCACTACAGCTGACCCCACAACACAACTAACCACAGTTCTCAGTGAATACAATCATGTACTGCTAAAAATAATTTGTTCTGAACTTCAGTTCATCACACCTTTTTCACAATTTCTGTCTCTCTCTCCTTTAGACTCTACAACACCTGAGGCCAGCACTACAGCACAAAGTACTACAGTTGATCCCACAACACAACTGACCGCAGTTACCAGTAAGTATCATCAAGTTCTAGAGAACAGAACTTGTCTGAAGCAGAGTTCACCACCAAAAGATCTGACACTCAATCATTATGTTTCTTCCCTGCTGTAGACTCTACAACAACTGCACCCACAATAGGACAAAGTACTACAGCTGACCCCACAACACAACTGACCACAGTTACCAGTAAATACAATCAAGTACTGCTGAAAATAATTTGTTCTGAATTTCAGTTCTTCATAAATTTGTCACAATCTCTCTCTCGTTCTCTTTCTCTCTCTTTCTCTCTCTTTTTGCTTTAGACTCTACAACACCTGAGGCCAGCACTGCAGCGCAAAGTACTACAGCTGACCTCACAACACAACTGACCACAGTTACAAGTATGTAGGCTAATATATTTTAGTTCAGAACAAAAATGCATTTTGGTTGTCACTATCTGTCACAATATAACTGACTACAGTGACGAGGCTAAGAGCTTTTGAAGGCTAGCAAATATTACTTTCTATTCTTTTTATGAGTTTTTGTTCATCTGCTTCTTCAGTTTATCACTATGTTATTTCTCTCTTGGTGGACACCACATCTACAGTAACTACTAAATCAACACCAGCATTAACTACAAAAACAACACCACCACCACCAACAACAACAACAATACGACCACCACCACCACCACCACCAACAACAACAACAACAACAGCAACAACAACAATAACAACTACTGCAAACCAAGCTGGTATGTGTAAGAATATAATATGTTTCTGAGCACTGCTAAATTAATCCTGATTATGCCATGGTTATGAAAGATCATGAATTAATAATGAAAAATGATGAATGAGAAGGTTGCAGAGGCTACAACAAAACATGCTAACCTCTCACCATTAGCAAACGCATTTTGGGGGGGTATGATCTTTGTGCCTCTGTTAATTTTTCAGTCATCATTATTCACGATTCATTCATGATTATCCATAATCATGGTATCACCCACATTAATGTAGAAGTGTTCAGAGACATACAATAAAAGTGTCTCCAAAATGGCACAATACAATATTCACCATTCAGTTCCTATTGGGCAAAATATAATCTGAAACACAACCAAAACATTCTGCAAATGCATGCAACGAGTTTGTAGAGTCACAAGCTTGATTTAGTCATTGAGTGCAAGGAATATGGGAACAAATACTACACTTTTGATTACTTTACTACACTATAAGTACATTTTTCCAAATACTTATGACTTTCTCAAATGGGGGGACTAGATACATAAAGTGCTTTAATTTCTAAACGGTAAAACAGATATGTATGTAAATACCCTCAAATAAAAGGAGACATTATGTACTGTCGCCTCATATGAAACATTTGATCTCACTTCCAAAAGGCTTGAGTATAAAACCAAATGTAACATTTTAGCTTCACTGTCCAAATACATATGGAGGGGAGTGTATAATAGGATATACAGTATAGGTAGCAACAATTCCATTCCATTTAAGCATGTTTGTCATTCTTCTTATTTTGTTTCAGATATTCTGTTGTTGGCAATGTCCTTCAAAATGATTGAAGATTTCACTAGCGACCTAAATGATGAAAATAGTGACAAATACAAAAAGTACAAAGGCGATATTGAACCAGTTGTAAGTACATGACTCAAGCTACTGTTGGCACAAGTAAATAATCAGATGCATTAAATAACTATCCATCCAATTATCTAACCAGGGTACATTTTCAGTGTGATAATTATGAATGTATATATACAAAAGTATGTGGACACCCCTTCAAATTAGTGGATTCGGCTATTTCAGCCACACCTGTTGCTGACAGGTGTATAAAATCGAGCACACAGCCATGCAATCTCCATAGACAAACATTGGCAGTAGAATGGCTTTACTGAAGAGCTCAGTGGCTTTCAACGTGGCTGTTATTGTGAAGTGGAAACGTCTAGAAGCAACAACGGCTCAGCCGCACACAAGCTCACAGAATGGGACCGCCAAGTGCTGAAGCGCGTAGCGCCTAAAAATCGTCTGTCCTTGGTTGCAACACTCACCACCGAGTTCCAAACTGCCTCTGGAAGCAACGTCAGCACAAGAACTGCTCGTCGGGAGCTTCATGAAATGGGTTTCCATTGCCGAGCAGCCGCACACAAGCCTAAGATCACCATGCGCAATGCTAAGCGTCGGCTGGAGTGGTGTAAAGCTCGCCGCCATTGGACTCTGGAGCAGTGGAAACGCGTTCTCTGGAGTGATGAATCACGCTTCACCATCTGGCAGTCCGATGAACTAATCTGGGTTTGGTGGATGCCAGGAGAACGCTACCTGCCCGAATGCATAGTTCCAACTGTAAAGTTTGGTGGAGGAGGAATATTGGTCTGGGGCTGTTTTTCATGGTTCAGGCTCATTAGTTCCAGTGAAGGGAAATCTTAACGCTACAGCACACAATGACATTCTAGACGATTCGATGCGTCCAACATTGTGGCAACAGTTTGGGGAAGGCCCTTTTCTGTTTCAGCATGACAATGCCCCCGTGCACAAAGCGAGGCCCGTACAGAAATGGTTTGTCAAGATCGTTGTGGAAGAACTTGACTGGCCTGCACAGAGCCCTGACCTCAACCCCATCAAACACCTTTGGGATGAATTGGAACGCCGACTGCGAGCCAGGCCTAATTGCCCAATATCAGTGCCTGACCTCACTAATGCTCTTGTGGCTGAATGGAATCAAGTCCCCACAGCAATGTTCTAACATCTAGTGGAAAGCCTTCCCAGAAGAGTGGAGGCTGTTATAGCAGCAAAGGCCGGACCAACTCCATATTAATGCCCATGATTTTGAAATGAGATGTTTGACGAGCAGGTGTCCACATACTTTTGGTCATGTAGTGTATTAGGAATACTGTATTGCCCTTTTTTTTTAACATTATCAATATCATTATCTCACACAGATCCAGGAGCAGTATAGGAAGAACATGCCAGGGTTTATTTCAGCAGCATTGACACGTTTCAGGTAGGTTTTCTGTATCCACTGTTGTTATGGAAGTAAGCTGTTTCCATTCAACATGTATTTATTTCTGTATTCTCTCTTTGGTTCCTATTAACAGCCCTGGAAGTGTTATAGTCAACTGTGATGTTAGGACCACAGTTGCAGACCCCACTGCAATTACCAATGCTAATGCTGGAGTTGCAAAATCACTTCCAGCTGTTTATCAAGTTGATGTTAGCTCTTTCAATATTATTTATAACAGTAAGTCCGTAAAAACCTTCTCATATCACATTATTGCAAATTCTAATGACCAAAAGAAAGATGCTTTAAATATCGGTCTAAAAAACTGTTTACCACGAATGTCTCAATCTATTCCTAGGTAACCCAGCATTAAGTTATACACCAACTCCCATTTACTCTGGTGGCACCATGACCCTGGAGTGTGGACCTCGTCCTGATACTGTAAATATGGGCACTATTAAAAACGTTGAGTGGAAACGAAAGGGAAGAGTTTTAACATCGACTGGAAGGTTCACCATCTATACAGATTCCTTGATATCACAAAAGACAAAACTTGATATCAGAAATGTAATTGCTGATGATGATGGTAAGTCGAAGAGTTCATATTTTATGCTTATTTAAAAAAAAATACAATTAAAATACCCTGGCAGGAAAGCAGGAGTCTATAATCCAAATATTATCAATTGTGTAATGACAGTTTTATTATATTTTTTAATCGCTGTTAGATTTTGGTTTCTATAAGATTGAAATCTCAAAACCCAGATCGTACCCACCCAAAGTTACAGAGGACAAAGGATGATAATGTTTTCTGTCCAGGTATTGTTTCTTGACTCAGCAATGTCAATATTGTTTCATCCCAGGGAAATATGAATGCACTCTGAAGAGTGACTTAATCTATTTCTACCAAATGGGTCAAATTGACATCAAAGATGCTCCCGTTATTCAAACGATGACAGAAATCAATATCCAATGTAAGGTGGGGAAAATTGAGTCATTGGAGTGTTGTGTGCAGACTCCCTATAAACTCCTGTGGAAAGAAGGGAATACAGAATTGGTCACATGTAAGTGTTAGTTGATAATCAGACTTCCTTTTCAATATGACAAGAGACCAAATAAATTAATGCATAAACCATGTTGTCTACATTTTATACATGCATTATTTATAGATGAGAGTCCTGGAAATTGCATTAAGTATGACTATACAATTCAAAACTGTGATGGACAAGTCAAAGAAGTCACATTAACATGCCAAGTCAAAGACCCAACAGCATATGAAAAGACTGCAAAATTGACTATTTTCACAGAAGGTAAGTACAGTATTTGCAGTTTTTGAATACTCCCACTGGTTGTTGTTGAGATTTTAGTTTCAAATTTTTTAACAAAATATGTTTTCTAGATATTGCTTGCCAGGACGATGAATATGGTAGTGGCCGAGTTAAAGACACATCAGTGGCAGCATGTGCTGAAGGTGAGGATGGAAGTAAGACAGCAATTTGTGAAAGCAATGGAAAATGGAGACTTCAGAGTGACACTTGTGTCTTGACTGCAATCAATGAGCTACTGACCTCATCTAAGGTAATACTTTTTAATAACACCTACCATGATTAGTAAACCCTAGCAACCATTGTCTTAACTGTATTTATACTTTGGAGCATGATTTTCTGTTGTATTTATCAATTTGAAGGAAAACTAACTCCTATGACTTGAGAATTTTTTGTAAGCAATAATTATATTTATTTATTTTCAAACTTGATCCACAGTATCATGTTTCTCTTAGGTGTCCTAAATTGAAGTGTATGACATACAGTATATTGTCTAAGTATAATCATATCTTCCTCTGCAGGAATTGGAAGAAGCAATGGTTGAAGGATTTTTAACAAAACTTAGTGATACCTCTGGAAATCTAAAGAGCAAAATCGTTAATTCAACTGCAACTATTTCGACCATTGTTGATATTCTGAGCATTGTTGCAAATATTTCAAAGAATATCAGCCAGTCTGAGATAAAGGTATGTTGAATACAAACAAAACAAGCACAGATAGTGCAAGAGATTAACAGAAAAAGTGAACGAAACTAAAGTATATAAAAGTTCACTTGGTTTCATATACAGTACCAGTCAAAAGTTTGGATACACCTACTCATTCAAGGGTTTTTCTTTATTTTTACTATTTTCTACATTGTAGAATAATAGTGAAGACATCAAAACTATGAAATTACACATATGGAATCATGTAGTAACCAAAAAAGGGTTAAAGAAATCTAAATATATTTTCTATTTGAGATTCTTCAAAGTAGCCACCATTTGCCTAGATGACAGCTTTGCACACTCTCGGCATTCTCTCAACCAGCTTCACCTGGAATGCTTTTCCACCAGTCTTGAAGGAGTTCCTACATATGCTGAGCACTTGTTGGCTGCTTTTCCTTCACTCTGCAGTCCAACTCATCCCAAACCATCTCAATTGGGTTGAGGTCGGGTGATTGTGGAGGCCAGATCATCTGATGCAGCACTCCACCACTCTCCTTCTTGGTAAAATAGCCCTTACACAGCCTGGAGGTGTGTTGGGTCATTGTCCTGTTGAAAAACAAATGATAGTCCCACTAAGCGCAAACCAGAAAGGATGACGTATTTCTGCAGAATGCTTTGGTAGCCATGCTGGTTAAGTGTACCAGCAAAGAACCCCCACACCATCACACCTCCTCCTCCATGCTTCACGGTGGGAACCACACATGCGGAGATCATCCGTTCAGCTACTCTGCGTCTCACAAAGACACAGTGGTTGGAACCAAAAATCTCAAATTTGGACTCATCAGACGATGGGACAGATTTCCACCAGTATAATGTCCATTGTTCGTGTTTCTTGGCCCAACCAAGTCTCTTCTTCTTATTGGTGTCCTTTAGTAGTGGTTTCTTTGCAGCAATTCGACCATGAAGGCCTGATTCACGCAGTCTCCTCTGAACAGTTGATGTTGAGATGTGTCTGTTACTTGAACTCTGTGAAGCATTTATTTGGGCTGCAATTTCTGAGGCTGGTAACTCTAATGAACTTATCCTCTGCAGCAGAGGTAACTCATGAGAGCCAGTTTCATCATAGCGCTTGATGGTTTTTGCGACTGCACTTGAAGAAAAGTTCTTGAAATGTTCCGTATTGACTGACCTTCATGTCTTAAAGTAATGATGGACTGTCGTTTCTCTTTGCTTATTTGAGCTGTTCTTGCCATAGTATGGCCTTGGTCTTTTACCAAATAGGGCTATCGTCTGTATACCACCCCTTGTCACAACACAACTGATTGGCTCAAACGTATTAAGAAGGAAAGAAATTCCACAAATTAACTTTTAACAAGGCACACCTGTTCATTGAAATGCATTCCAGGTGACTACCTCATGAAGCTGGTTGAGAGAATGCCAAGAGTGTGCAAAGCTGTCATCAAGGCAAAGAGTGGCTACTTTGAAGAATCTCAAATATAAAATATATTTTGATTTGTTTAACACTTTTTTTGGTTACTACGTGATTCCATATGTGTTTTTTTCATAGTTTTGATGTCTTCACTATTATTCTAAAATGTAGAAAATAGTTTTTAAAAACTTTTGTCCAAACTTTTGACTGGTATTGTACTTTGAATGCATGAATTTCGGGAAATAAGTCTGTGCTTTAAATAAACTAAAACTAATGAAATACACTGAAGTTAAATAATAGTGGTGAGATAAGCATAAGTACATGTTTTGCTTTTAGAAACAAACAAGCTAAATTATTAACATTAAGTTTGGACCTAACTCAGATTTCTTATTGACTCCCCAGAACATTCTAGAAACAGTGAATGTCCTAGTTTCTGATGAAGCAAAAGAATCCTGGACCGTTCTCAATGCCGACCAAAATAAAAACACCAGCTCTAGTTTACTGGGCTCCATGGAATTGTTTGCAGGTTCTCTCCCAACAAAGTCATTTAATGTAACAACAGAGCTAATTCAGTTAAACCAAGCCACATTTGACAACTCATTCAGTGCAGACTTAAATTCAAGTGTGTTAATAGAGATTCCAGAGACTAATTCCAATCACCTCACCATCACCACTCTAACGTTCTCCTCCCTCAATAATGTGTTACCTGCCAGGAATGGCAGCAATCAAAGTGTCAACGACAACATCATCAATGGATTTGTAGTGCTGGCGAAGTTGAATGGAACGACTAACAATGTCTCATTGAGCTTCGATAAGGTGAACAAGTCGCTCACATTCAATCCTCAGTGTGTTTTCTGGAACTTCAGCCTTTTTAACAGCCTTGGGGGATGGGATGATAAAGGATGTAAACTGCAGTCTAATGAGAATGGCACTGTCACCTGTCACTGTAACCATCTGACCTCCTTCTCCATTTTGATGTCAACGTCCATTCCGAAAGAGATTCAAGACGCTTTGGATATAATCACTTATGTTGGAGTTGGCATATCGATGGGTAGCTTAGTCATGTGTCTCATCATTGAGGCTTGTGTATGGAAGGCCATGACCAGAAACAACACCTCTTACATGCGCCATGTCTCCATAGTGAACATCGCTGTGTCTCTCCTGATTGCTGACATTTGGTTCATCATTGGTGCATCAATAGTAAAAAATGACCTTGAAAACCCAGGCGAGGACACCACAACACCTATACCAGCATGTACTGCAGCAACGTTTTTCATTCACTTTTTCTACCTTGCTCTATTCTTTTGGATGCTGATCTCGGGCCTTCTTCTTTTCTACCGGACCATCATGGTTTTCTCCCATATGTCAAAATCAACTATGCTGGCTATTGGCTTCTCAGTGGGCTATGGGGCACCTTTTATCATTGCTGTTGTTACTGTGGCAGCAACAGCTCCAAGTGATGGATACATCAAGGAAAACCAGGCATGTTGGCTCAACTGGGACAAGACAATGGCTCTCCTTGCTTTTGTGATCCCTGCCCTGACCATAGTGGTCATCAACTTTTTGATCCTGATTGTGGTTCTGTACAAAATGCTGAGGAGAGGTGTGGGGGATGCTAGCCAGCCAAATGAGAGAAATGCTGTTGTGGTCATCGCCAGGTGTCTGGCCATTCTGACTCCATTCTTTGGCCTTACCTGGGGACTGGGAGTAGGAACCATGGTTGATCCAACAAATAAGGGAATCCATATTGTGTTTGCCCTCTTCAATTCACTACAGGTAACTGCATACATTGGTGCATTATTTTCCATAATAATAATAAATAAATAAATAGTGTCATACACTGAAATCCTTATTTCATTTTTTGTTCTAACTGAAAGCTGTAAGTAATGAGTTCTGATGTAAAATGTCAACATGTTTACAATTATATTAGTTTTCATGATGTCGAACAACATTAGCAACATTGTATTATGTACATTAATCTTTAATCTTTCTTAAAAGGGTTTCTTTGTTTTGGTGTTTGGAACACTTTTAGACGGCAAGGTATGTGATACAATTTTTGTTTATTCCCTCTTCGTATGCAAGAGTGTTGGGATTTTTAAATAAATTGTCCTGTGGTTTCAGATCCGGTCAGCTATAGCAGGAAGTTTCTCTTCCATCATCCCAGGCTCTGACCGTACGAGGGTAAGTACATCTCTTCACACCGTTTCTTCTATATTTAACTAAAATGTTTAATGTTACGTACATGTGTACTATGTGCACTGATGATCCTATTAATTAGACATGTTTGCAATTTCAGAATTCTCAAGTTAAACCATGAGTTTAATGGGTTGCTTTTGGCCTTCCTCATAGGCTTGATTCTCTCTGATAAGACTTACTACTGTATCAGCTAATATTGATTGCCCAATAAGTGTACAGTGGGGGAAAAAAGTATTTAGTCAGCCACCAATTGTGCAAGTTCTCCCACTTAAAAAGATTAGATAGGCCTGTAATATTCATCATAGGTACACGTCAACTATGACAGACAAATTGAGGAAAAAAAATCCAGAAAATCACATTGTAGGATTTTTTATTAATTTATTTGCAAATTATGGTGGAAAATAAGTATTTGGTCACCTACAAACAAGCAAGATTTCTGGCTCTCACAGACCTGTAACTTCTTCTTTAAGAGGCTCCTCTGTCCTCCACTCGTTACCTGTATTAAAGGCACCTGTTTGAACTTGTTATCAGTATAAAAGACACCTGTCCACAACCTCAAACAGTCACACTCCAAACTCCACTATGGCCAAGACCAAAGAGCTCTCAAAGGACACCAGAAACAAAATTGTAGACCTGCACCAGGCTGGGAAGACTGAATCTGCAATAGGTAAGCAGCTTGGTTTGAAGATATCAACTGTGGGAGCAATTATTAGGAAATGGAAGACATACAAGACCACTGATAATCTCCCTCAATCTGGGGCTCCACGCAAGATCTCACCCCGTGGGGTCAAAATGATCACAAGAACGGTGAGCAAAAATCCCAGAACCACACGGGGGGACCTAGTGAATGACCTGCAGAGAGCTGGGACCAAAGTAACAAAGCCTACCATCAGTAACACACTACGCCGCCAGGGACTCAAATCCTGCAGTGCCAGACGTGTCCCCCTGCTTAAGGTAGTACATGTCCAGGCCCGTCTGAAGTTTGCTAGAGTGCATTTGGATGATCCAGAAGAGGATTGGGAGAATGTCATATGGTCAGATGAAACCAAAATAGAACTTTTTGGTAAAAACTCAACTCGTCGTGTTTGGAGGACAAAGAATGCTGAGTTGCATCCAAAGAACACCATACCTACTGTGAAGCATGGGGGTGGAAACATCATACTTTGGGGATGTTTTTCTGCAAAGGGACCAGGACGACTGATCCGTGTAAAGGAAAGAATGAATGGGGCCATGTATCGTGAGATTTTGAGTGAAAACCTCCTTCCATCAGCAAGGGCATTGAAGATGAAACGTGGCTGGGTCTTTCAGCATGACAATGATCCCAAACACACCGCCCGGGCAACGAAGGAGTGGCTTCGTAAGAAGCATTTCAAGGTCCTGGAGTGGCCTAGCCAGTCTCCAGATCTCAACCCCATAGAAAATCTTTGGAGGGAGTTGAAAGTCCGTGTTGCCCAGCGACAGCCCCAAAACATCACTGCTCTAGAGGAGATCTGCATGGAGGAATAGGCCAAAATACCAGCAATAGTGTGTGAAAACCTTGTGAAGACTTACAGAAAACGTTTGACCTGTGTCATTGCCAACAAAGGGTATATAACAAAGTATTGAGAAACTTTTGTTATTGACCAAATACTTATTTTCCACCATAATTTGCAAATAAATTCATTACAAATCCTACAATGTGATTTTCTGGAGACAAAAATTCTCATTTTGTCTGTCATAGTTGACGTGTACCTATGATGAAAATTACAGGCCTCTCAGATCTTTTTAAGTGGGAGAACTTGCACAATTGGTGGCTGACTAAATACTTTTTTCCCCCACTGTATATCATTTTTTTCCATTCCAGAGTACCAATGGTGGTGCGGCAACATCATCAACCAGTGCATTAAACTTCTTCCGAAGAAGAATAAGGAGGAGTAAGCTCATCATTTGTTATGTAGTTAAGAACAAAGTTACTATGAATTTTGAAATGATCACAGTTCTTTAAATATTTGTTTTGTTGAAAAATCACCCTGCCTTTCTGTATATAACAAACCAACTGTTTGACCTCTCTTGCTTTGTCAGATGCCTACAATGTTTCGGAAGCTGTAAATTCTTCCAGCAGCACTGGTGCTACAGAGTCATTCATCAACACCTAACTCAATGCAACCAACCATCTAGAGACAGCAGTAGGGGTTGATGTATTGAGCAGGGCACTGCAACTGTTTGTCATCTTGTCTACAAACAGAATGTTTCACTCTGAAATATGACTTAAGACATATCAAAGGTAGTACAAGCTGTTCTTCCGCTTGACAAGAAGTGTAGCCTTTGACCTGGACCTGCCATAAAACATGTCTTGGTCCAGCACACAATTCATCTATTGATGTGAAGATGTTGGACTTTTCTGGAATAATGCTGTGAGTTCTATAGGGGTTTTGTTTGAGAGACTTGCCTCTTTTTTGTTGTACATGTTTAGGAGTCTAGACACTACTGTGAATGATGGACCAGTTTGAACCAAGTTCTGAACAAGACATAGCACTTTAAATGATGTATGGTATTGAAGGACTTTTCTTTTTTGTTATTCAGGTTTCCAAAGGAAGCAATATCCAAATATAATAGATGATCAGATAATTACAGGAACTTATGAAAGTAAATTAGCTGCATCGGTGCAGACAAGTGTTAACTGTATGACAGAGAATTCGCCTTTTTTTAAATACATTTTTACTTAATTATGTTATGGATTTCCATGTTGTTGCCATTACCACTTATGTGTGTTGTATTAAAATGCATTATATGGCTGCTATTGTCTTTTCTTATGTGGAGTAAATGTAATGGAATATTTTAAATGTGTATCATTTATTGTTGAAGAGGCTTCTACAGTAGATCATGTTGGATACACAAGTAGTAAACAAAGAGTTTTGTCTCGTTGCACCTGTCTCACAGACAGTGTTGCTGCAACTCAATAGCCAAAGTCTTGGTTCAACCATCTACCCAATAAAGATGCCATGTTTGCCATATTCAATGTGCAATTTCTTCTTTCCCGATGACTTTGCACCACACTGATCTAATCTCTCATTTGTCTCAAGGAAACAGGGAGAATTAAAACCTGCCGTTTCAGTGCTGGGCCAGCAATTCTAGTAGTATGCTGAAAGATATTAAATGTACTTTTGAACCGACTTGACAATTGAAACAAATCAGAATGTTTGGGTTTATGTTTCCCCAGGAATGGCTTTGCAAAATAAATGGGAGTATATTGTCACCCTCCTTATACTGTGGTGCAATTTGGAAACACGGTTTTGTTTTGAAACTTCAAGCTTCTTTTTGTAGGTAAGAAATCAGTTTGAGGTATGTCAGATCTAGGAAAACATAGGAAAAGGAAAGGTGACATTGATACATTCAATACAACCTAAAATATATAAATTTTTGTCTCTAATTAAAGGGAATTTTATACAAAATCAAACAAATAGTTTTTGGACTGATGAAGCCTGTTTCTCAAATCATAATAACCCAAACATGTTGGCATTTTGACAAAGATTGTAACTCCCAATAGCAGATCACAAGGGGGAGCTATAACATGAGAAAATATCTGAATTCTAAAACTTCAACTACTGCAAAGCCAAACAAGCTCAGATTTACATTACCATTCAAAAGATAATGTTGATAATATTAAAAAGATAATATTAAAAAGATAATAGTAAGATGTTGAACATAATAATTTCGACTTCACAGGAATCCCATCATTCTATAGAAAGAAGCGATAGTGACTATATAAAGTGGTTTCACTGACTTTGGCTAAGATAATAAGAAACATATTATTTTTGTTTCAAAATCAAATAAAATGTATTGGTCATGTATTGGTCACATACACATGGTTAGCAGATGTTATTGCGAGTGTAGCGAAATGCTTGTGCTTCTAGTTCCGACAGTGCAGCAATATCTAGCAAGTAATATCTAACAGTTCCACAACAAAAACCTAATACACACAAATCTAAGTAAAGGAATGGAATAAGAATATATTAATATATGAATGAGCAATGTCATTATCAGAGTGGCATAGGCTAAGATGCAATAGATAGCATATAATACAGTATATACATACTGTATCTGTCATGTTCTTTCCTGTACTTACATACTTATTAAATGTAAATGTTTTCATAGTCAGTTGTTTCATTTGCTTATTAATATCTCATTTAGACTTAATCTGTTTATTTCTTCCCTACACCTTTGCAGATCTAAGACAAGATGAAAGTAAAAACACATTCTCTTCCTAATTAGTTTTTTTTCCACCTGCATTTTGTCAGACCAGTGAAGATCGTGGTAAACTGTATTATTTGCATGGACCCTAGGTTACCTTTTCCCATTGTTATCATACTAACTGTATGTCGTATAACCTTAATTAGAGCTCCTGCTAACCCGATGTACCATGCCAGGTGTGTATAACACTGATGTTAATGGGAGAGGGAAGGGGTTAAGGTGTGGTCTTTACTCTCAAATTTCACTTAAATATAACTTCCAAATGAAGAGAGACAATGAGACATAAAATAATCTGGGACAAAATGCTATTTTATGGACAACGGTGGATGGTTCTTAAAATAACCTTTGTGTTAGGGGGCTCCACGGCATGCTGCCATGGGACTTCACCTGCTGGCGATGACAAGTAGGTGGTCAGCTTCTCCCTCACCTGGAGTGCCTGTCTGGGGGCATTGTTGGTACCTGCCCTGGTGACATCAGGTAGGTGACCATTTGGCGTGCCCATCTCCATCCGGAGCGGCTCCTGGAATGACCTCCGCAGGTAGTTGTGGAGAACATGTGGCCTTCATGCAGGCATCGACATTTGAGGGGCTGAGACCAAACACTCTCCGATACATTCTCCACCGGGCTGCCAGAATCCCAAAGGTGCATTCAACAACTAACCTTGCCCTGGACAGTCGTTTGTTGAAGATCCTTACAGGCTTTGGCAATGGCAACTGGCGTCCATAGTAGGGCCTCATGAAGTTGGATCTCAAAGGGAAGGCCTCATCGCCGACGAAGACATGGGGAACGGGTTCCAGGTCTTCAGCCCCAGGGAGTGATGCAGGTGGTGGAATCTCCAGGGTGCCATCCTGAAGTCCCAGAGGGTCCCGCCATCACTTCCCTTGCCGTAAGCACCAACATCGATGACACGGAAACAGTAGATGGCATCTACAACAGCCAAGAGTATAACTGAATATGTACCGTTGTAGATGTAGAATTGCGAACCAGAGCACGGTGGAGCCTGGATTACTACATGTTTCCCGTCAATGGAGCCAAGACAGTTGGGGAAATTCTACCTCTCCTGGCCCTCCAGTCTTCCTCCTTGGGGACAGGCATGTATTCACCAACCAGACAGTCCCAAGTGGCCTGTGCCACAGAGGGGACAATGCCTGCCACCGTGGACCGTCCAACTCGGAAGCTGAATCCGATGGTCCTGTAGGAGTCCCCTGTTGCCAAGAATCTGAAATATAATTCAAAATAATTGTCAATATTGTGTGGAACTTGAATTCCACCCACATATTCTATCTACTCATATAGCTACCTCATTACTGTTTATTATGCTCTACTAATTATATTGTAATACTCATCAACCATCATTAACAATGCCTTGAAAGAGTACAATTCAGTCTATGACTGTATTAATAAACTGTAGCCCAGGCCAACTCTACTCTTAGAAAAAAAGGTGCTATCTAGAACCTAAAGGGGTTCTCCGGCTATCCAGGTAGTACCCTTTTTGGTTCCAGGTAGAACCCTTTTGGTTCCAAGTAGAACACTTTTGGGTTCCATGTATAACCTTTTCCCCGAAGGGTTCTACCTGGAACCAAAAAGGGTTATCCTATGGGGAAAGCAGAAGGACACTTTTGGAACCCTTTTTTCTAAGAGTGTACGTGATTCCAATAAGAATGTAATGAATGACTGTAACTGTCTTGAACAACAAGGGGTCCTGGAGAAGACTAGCCTACCTTCATCAGGGCAGAAGGCACCCCAACTTTATTTTCAATTGGTAACATTGCATCATTAAAAAAGGATTTTAAACCATCTTTGGGAAAAGTTATAGTCCTAATGAACATTCTGTAAAAGTACATCTGATGTCACATAGGGGCTATTACCTAGAGAGCCCTTTAGCTAGCTAGGTTACACATAAAATATATCTAATATCAATCAATTACGGTATCAAAGGCTTTAAAAATTCACTACAATTTAGCAAATCGCTGGGCGTTCAACTGGGCTGATGGACTCCCGGTAGTTGGTATCCCTCCTGACTAAAGTAACTTCAGAATTCCTCTCCAAACAGTCGAAGCTCTTGAATGAGAAGGTGGAACTCCCCTGCCTGCTTTCGGGACTTCAACCATCTCTGGACCCACACAGACCTGCGCTTTCGGCAGGACTGGTCCCGGCCCAACAGCGTGATCAAGACCACCTTCCTCAACGTTGGCCTCATTCTTGAAAATGCCTACTCTCTGCTATCTTTACTATTTATTATTGCATTTTTCTCCAAAACTATGCATTTTCGAGGGAAATTATATAATAATAAATAATATGTATGCTACTTGGCAAATAAATGAATAAAACATTTTAAGAAATTCTGCAGTCAAACTGCTTTTATTTATTATGTATAACATTCACATTTTGCTACTTTCTGTCAAGTCTATGCATACAATTTGATGCATACGTTCGATAAATCCAACGTATGCACCACACAGAACGCACTGCAACTGCCTCTGCAACGCAATGCTGCAAGGCAAACGCAGCGTTCCATTGGAAATTAATGTACTTCTGGTGTACCAAAACGCAATGACGCAGTCGGTGTGTTCGAATTGTAAAGGTAACATTAGGCTCCTTAAGAGTACATCTTGGGCTAGGGACACACAGGTTAAGTTGGCTAGCCAAGTCAATTAACAGGTAAAACACTGTGATATTATTATTTCATTTACAGCAAATAACTACAGTGGGGGAAAAAAGTATTTAGTCAGCCACCAATTGTGCAAGTTCTCCCACTTAAAAAGATGAGAGAGGCCTGTAATTTTCATCATAGGTACACGTCAACTATGACAGACAAAATGAGAAAAAAAATTCCAGAAAATCACATTGTAGGATTTTTATGAATTTATTTGCAAATTATGTTGGAAAATAAGTATTTGGTCAATAACAAAAGTTTCTCAATACTTTGTTATATACCCTTTGTTGGCAATGACACAGGTCAAACGTTTTCTGTAAGTCTTCACAAGGTTTTCACACACTGTTGCTGGTATTTTGGCCCATTCCTCCATGCAGATCTCCTCTAGAGCAGTGATGTTTTGGGGCTGTCGCTGGGAAACACGGACTTTCAACTCCCTCCAAAGATTTTCTATGGGGTTGAGATCTGGAGACTGGCCACTCCAGGACCTTGAAATGCTTCTTATGAAGCCACTCCTTCGTTGCCCGGGCGGTGTGTTTGGGATCATTGTCATGCTGAAAGACCCAGCCACGTTTCATCTTGAATGCCCTTGCTGATGGAAGGAGGTTTTCACTCAAAATCTCATGATACATGGCCCCATTCATTCTTTCCTTTACACGGATCAGTCGTCCTGGTCCCTTTGCAGAAAAACAGCCCCAAAGCATGATGTTTCCACCCCCATGCTTCACAGTAGGTATGGTGTTCTTTGGATGCAACTCAGCATTCTTTGTCCTCCAAACACGACGAGTTGAGTTTTTACCAAAAAGTTATATTTTGGTTTCATCTGACCATATGACATTCTCCCAATCCTCTTCTGGATCATCCAAATGCACTCTAGCAAACTTCAGACGGGCCTGGACATGTACTGGCTTAAGCAGGGGGACACGTCTGGCACTGCAGGAATTGAGTCCCTGGCGGCGTAGTGTGTTACTGATGGTAGGCTTTGTTACTTTGGTCCCAGCTCTCTGCAGGTCATTCACTAGGTCCCCCCGTGTGGTTCTGGGATTTTTGCTCACCATTCTTGTGATCATTTTGACCCCACGGAGTGAGATCTTGCATGGAGCCCCAGATCGAGGGAGATTATCAGTGGTCTTGTATGTCTTCCATTTCCTAATAATTGCTCCCACAGTTGATTTCTTCAAACCAAGCTGCTTACCTATTGCAGATTCAGTCTTCCCAGCCTGGTGCAGGTCTACAATTTTGTTTCTGGTGTCCTTTGACAGCACTTTGGTCTTGGCCATAGTGGAGTTTGGAGTGTGACTGTTTGAGGTTGTGGAGAGGTGTCTTTTATACTAATAACAAGTTCAAACAGGTGCCATTAATACAGGTAACGAGTGGAGGACAGAGGAGCCTCTTAAAGAAGAAGTTACAGGTCTGTGAGAGCCAGAAATCTTGCTTGTTTGTAGGTGACCAAATACTTATTTTCCACCATAATTTGCAAATAAATTCATTAAAAATCCTACAATGTGATTTTCTGGATTTTTTTTCCTCATTTTGTCTGTCATAGTTGACGTGTACCTATGATGAAAATTACAGGCCTCTCTCATCTTTTTAAGTGGGAGAACTTGCACAATTAGTGGCTGACTAAATAATTTTTTCCCCCACTGTATATGTGTATATATATATACATACAGTTGAAGTCGGAGGTTTACATACACCTTAGGCAAATACATTTAAACTCAGTTTTTCACAATTCCTGACATTTAATCCTAGTAAAAATCCCCTGTCTTAGGTCAGTTAGGATCACCACTTTATTTTAAGTATGTGAAATGTCAGAATAATAGTAGAGAGAATGATTTATTTCAGCTTTTCTTTATTTCATCACATTCCCAGTGGGTCAGAAGTTTACATACACTCAATTAGTATTTGGTATCATTGCCTTTAAATTGTTTAACTTCGGTCAAACGTTTCGGGTAGCCTTCCACAAGCTTCCCACAATAAGTTGGGTGAATTTTGGCCCATTCCTCCTGACAGAGCTGGTGTAACTGAGTCAGGTTTGTAGGCCTCCTTGCTCGCACACGCTTTTTCAGTTCTGCCCACATATTTTCTATAAGATTGAGGTCAGGGCTTTGTGATGGTCACGCCAATACCTTGACTTTGTTGTTCTTAAGCCATTTTGGCACAACTTTTGAAGTTTGCTTGGGGTCATTGTCCATTTGGAAGACCCATTTGCGACCAAGCTTTAACTTCCTGACTGATGTCTTGAGATGTTGCTTCAATATATCCACATAATTTTCCTTCCTCATGATGCCATCTATTTTGTGAAGTGCACCAGTCCCTCCTGCAGCAAAGCACCCCCACGGCATTATGCTGCCACCCCTGTGCTTCACGGTTGGGATGGTGTTCTTCGGCTTGCAAGCAACCCCTTTTTCCTCCAAACATAACGATGGTCATTATGGCCAAACAGTTATATTTTTGTTTCATCAGACCAGAGGACATTTCTCCAAAAAGTATGATCTTTGTCCCCATGTGCAGTTGCAAACCATAGTCTGGCTTTTTTATGGTGGTTTTGGAGCAGTGGCTTCTTCCTTGCTGAGTGGCCTTTCAGGTTATGTCGATACAGGACTCGTTTTACTGTGGATATAGATACTTTTGTACCTGTTTCCTCCAGCATCTTCACAAGGTTCTTTGCTGTTGTTCTGGGATTGATTTGCGCTTTTCGCACCAAAGTACGTTCATCTCTAGGAGACAGAACGCGTCTCCTTCCTGAGCGGTATGACAGCTGCTTGGTCCCATGGTGTTTATACTTGCGTAATATTGTTTGTACAGATGAAAGTGGTACCTTCAGGCATTTGGAAATTGCTCCCAAGGATGAACCAGACTTGTGGAGGTCTACAATTTCTTTTCTGAGGTCTTGGCTGATTTCTTTTGATTTTCCCATGATGTCAAGCAAAGAGGCACTTGAGTTTGAAAGTAGGCCTTGAAATACATCCACAGGTTCACCTCCAATTGACTCAAATTTTGTCAATTAGCCTATCAGAAGCTTCTAAAGACATGACATAATTTTCTGGAATTTTCCAAGCTGTTTAAAGGCACAGTCAACTTAGTGTATGTAAACTTCTGACCCACTGGAATTGTGATACAGTGCATTAGAAGTGAAATAATCTGTCTGTAAACAATTATTGGAAAAATTACTTGTGTCATGCACAAAGTAGATGTCCTAACCGACTTGCCAAAACTATAGTTTGTTAGCAAGAAATTTGTGGAGTGGTTGAAAAACAAGTTTTAATAAGTGTATGTAAACCTCCGACTTCAACTGTAGATACTTTTGTACCTGTTTCCTCCAGCAGGTCCTTTGTTGTTGTTCTGGGATTGATTTGCACTTTTCGCACCAAAGTACGTTCATCTCTAGGAGACAGAACTTTTCTGCAACCCGCCTCACTCAACGTGGGAAGGATTCTATTATTTCTTTATAACTTTTATCAAGAACCTTAAGCTGAAACTAGTCTAGCTGCAACCGAATGGCTACTTGCTATTAGCCACCGTTAGCATCTTCACCATTGTCCTTGGCCTGCACTACCCACCAGCCAGCTCTAGCTCTAGCCTGGACAATTTGTCGGCCAGTCTGCACAGCGTGCTATCGACCCAGAGCATATAGGATTTTCTGCCGGAATCACTGGACCCTAGCGCCGGATCATCGCAACAAGCTAGCTGCAACCAAATGGCTGTTGTCTTTCGCTAATTACCATTGCCCATTAGCAAGCACCAGTTAGCCTTGAGCTAGCCTCGAGCCAGACCCATCTCCCGGCTATCTACCTCTCTGTCAACCGGACGGGACCCCCTAGTGTTGACACGGAGCCCCGCCGATCCAACACGACTGGTTTGCCCACGAAATCATCTGATGTGGTTTCAACAGGCTTCCCATTACGACGTCGACCACGAAGATCCATCTGCTAGCCCCGGCCCGCTAGCACACGCAAGCCGGGCCTCTTGCTCGCCAGTGCTGTAGCAGCCCCCGAACTACCTCCGAACTCTGCTATTGCTGTTCACCGGACCTTATGATAATTCAGCTATACAGCTGATGCCTGCTGGACTGTTCCTTTATACGGTACCACATCCTGTTTATGTTTAGCCTCAGCCCAAACTTTGCCGCCATTACCAGCTGTTGTCTTAGCTCTCTCGAAAAACACCTGTGATTGCTTTATGCCTCTCTCCCGTGTCAATATGCCTTGCTTATTGCTGTTTCGGTTATTTCTTATTGTACTATTTCACTGTAGAGCCCCCAGCCCAGCTCAACCTGCCTTAGACAGCATATTTGTCCCACCCCCCCATACACGCGGAGACCAACTCAATCTGTGCCTCCAGTGATGCTATCTCTTTCATCGTTACCCAACGCTTAGGTTTACCTCCACTGTACTCATATCCTTTCATATCCTTGTCTGTACATAATGCCCTGAATCTATTCTACAACGCCCGGAAATCTGCCCCTTTTTTTCTCTGTACCCAACGCACTAGAATACCAGTTCTTAAAGCCTTTAGCCGTATCCTTCTTTTTGTTTTTTTAT